ATGCCCTGGATGCCTAGCAAAGGACAATTGTAGGGTGGGACCTCACCCCCAAGGTGACCTTTCCTCCCCTAGCATATCAACCCCCTGGCCTTTCCTCCCTAGAGATAACAGTTAGGCCTCAGTTGTGTTTCAGCTCCAGGCCCAGCCACACCTGACCTCAGGAACAACTGCATTGAATAACAACCCTCACCCTGAAGACCTAGACCCTGAAAGGACACACCTGGAAAGCTGCTGAATATTACAATGAGATGTTTCCCTGGGACCTCCCATAAGATCTTCATGCTATAAACCATTAGGATAGAGGACCCAGTGCTCTCCCTCCTGGGAGCAGCCCCAGAGCCTAAGCCTTTGTCTCTGCCTTTCCCCTTCCCTTCTCCATGCCCCACCCCCCCCTAAAAACACATTAGCATTAGCTTCCTCACTCCCAAGTCACAAAGGCCCTTCCTTTGCCTCTATAACTTGTTTCCTAAGCCCATTTCTTCTAGAAATTACTTCTTCCACCTCTGTAATTTTACCAAATAAATATTCTCTTGCAGTTTAGGTCTTGGCTCTGAATTCTTTCCAAGCCAGAACCCAAGTACCGAGGTTGCTGAACCCAGATTTGACCTGACCCCACGGGCCTAACACCTGGTGCTGTTCCTGCCACCTACAGCAAATGGACACACAAGTGTGTGACCCAAGAAAGGTCTGGCCTAGAGATGTAGATGTGGGTATTATCAGCATATGTCATAGTTACAACTGTAAGAAAAATTAAATCTCTAAAGAAAAGTGTAGAGTGAAAAATGAATTGGGTCCAAGACGGAATTCTCAACTACACCAGTATTTAAAGGGCCAGCAGCCCAGCCGGTGTGGCTCAGTGGTTGAGCACCAACCTATTAACCAGGAGGTCATGGTTCAATTCCTGGTTAGGACACATGCCCAGTTTCTGGGCTCCATCCTGATCCCCAGTAGGGGGTGTGCAGGAGGCAACTGATTGATGTTCTCTCATCTTCAATGATTCTATCTCTCTCTCTCTCTCCTCTCAAATCAATAAAGATGTACTTTTTAAAAAAAGAGATTAACATAGCCCAGCTGGGTGTGGCTAGGATCCAGGAGGTCCAGGTACTATTCCCAGTCTGGGCACATGCTCAGGTTTCAGGTTTAATCCCCAGCAGGGGGCGAGCAGAAGGCAGCCGATCAATGACTCATCATTGATGTTTCTATCTCTCTCTTCGTCTCCCTTCCTCTCTCTCTGAAATCAATAAAGACATATTTTTAAAAATAAAAAAATAAAAAATAAAAAGAGATTAACACAACTAAGGGAGAATTTGGGGATAAATTAGAGTACACAGAAAACTAAGCAAACAAAAAAGACAAGGCATGTATTAATTCCAGGGAAAACAAAAATAGTGCAGAAAAGAAAAACTATAACTATCCACATGGCTCAACTATGAAAAACATTTGCATAATCATAATAATGTAAACACTAAACACAGATCCAACGAGATTACACTGAAAAGATGGAAGGATCGGGAGTAGGTGATGGGGGGTCTGGAAAAGAGAGCAATGGGAAGTCAATAGCTAATGCCTAAAATAAACATCAAGAAGCAACAATATTCGCCCGGCTGGGCGTGGCTTAGCGGTTGAGCATCAACCTTGGATCCAGGAGATCGTGGTTTGATTCCCTGTCAGGGCACATGCCCGGGTTGTGGACTCAATCCCCAGTTGGGGGCGTGCAGGAGGCAGATGATCAATGATGACTCATCACTGATGTTTCTATCTCTCTCTCCCTCTCCCTTCCTCTCTCTGAAATCAACAAAGATGTATTTAAAAAATAAAATAACACCATGAAGGGGGTGGTTACAGGAGGCTGGGAGATAGTAAGGAGGTTGCAATTTTCAGAGGTGATAGTGGAAGTGGGGAAGGAATGTGAACAGATGTGAGAGATATTTTTATTGTTTTCTTCATTCTCCCTTTAAAAAGTCCTGACCCTAAATGCCCTTCCCTCTGTTCTTCCTGCAGTGACCAGAACCAAGGCCTTATCACCCATACCAATCAGCCCCAACATCTAACAGAATCACCTTACAGGAGGCTAATGAAGTGAGGAGTGGGCCAGAGCCCATGAAGTGATGCTGAGTGCAAAGACATCATGCTGTGAAAACTGGTAAAATCCGGGCCAAGGTGAGAGAAGTACATAAAAAGTGTAAGCTCTTGCCATAGTCAGTTTGGCTCAGTGGTTAGAACATCGTTCCACAGACTGAAGGGTGCCGGGTTTGATTCCAGCAAAAGGCAAGTACTTAGGCTGCAGGCTCCATCTCCGGCCCTGGTCCTCCAAGTGCATATGCCAGAGGCAGCCGATTGATGTTTCTCTCTCTCTCTCTCTCTCTCTCTCCCCCACTCCCTCTGAAAAGCAGTGGAGAAAATATTCTCAGGTGAGGATTAAAGAAAAAAGTGTAAACTGAAAAGCAAAGACAAAAACAAGATGAGGGCAAGATAAATTTTGGAAATTTTGTAAGTTTCCTAGTTTAGACCCCTTTCTTCTGCATTAATGTTTAAACTTTTATTTATTCATTATTTTCAAAGTAACACATGGGCATTGCACAAAATTCAGAATTCCAAAGTGGTATACAGGAAAAGTAGTCTCCTTCCTTCTGTCCCTCAGCCACCCAGCTACTCTTCCAAGAGGCAACTGTACCCTGCTTGTTCGTGTATCCTACCAGAAATAATCCATTGTGCATTAAAATTTAAGTTTAAAAAGCACCATCACTAAATTGATCATGTTTAAAAGATATTAATCTCTGCCAAACTGAGATGAACCAAGAATGAGATTGGATTCTTCTAGCTCTCATCTGTGAAAGTAGCTAAATAGCTTCACGATCTCTCTCTTTTTTTAAATTAAGCCTCACCCCAGGACATTTTCATTGATTTTTAGAGAGGGGAAGGAGAGAATGGGAGAAACATCACATCGATTGGTTGCCTCCCAAACGTGCCCTGACCGGGATCTGAACCCTCTACCTTCCCAACTGAGCCACCTGGACCAGGGCGTCACTATCTCTTGATCAAGATTATCCTTAAAGCCCATCTGCAGTAAACTGGATTGTTGTTTTTAATCCTCACCTGAGGATATGTTTTTATTGATTTATAGAGACAGGAAGGGAGAAAGAAACACTGACATGAGAGAAACATTGATGGTGTTGCCTCCTGTACTCGCCTTGACCAGGGATCAAACCTGTAGCCTATGTGCCCTGACCAGGAATCGAACCAACCCACAACCTTTTGGTATAAAAGGGTGCTGCTCCAACCAACTGAGGCAGCTGGCCAGGGCTTCAGGAAATTGGTTTTAAGGGCCAAAAATTTGGGACCCTGAAGTGTTCTGTTTGACTGAATCATGTTTTTCTTTTTCATTTTAATTTTAAGATGGATCTTCAACTCTCTAGACATCCATAGATTCTGTTTCTTACAATTTACACATTTAAATTACCTGCTTGTCCCCTTTCGGTGTCTAAATTATGACCATTTAACTGACTGTTCATCCCCAAATGGAATAACATGCCACCATGGAAAGTGATGATAGATGTATGTTTAATGGCATGGGAAGATGCTTCTAATATATTAAATGAAAAAACAGTTTGCAAAAGAGTATTCGCTCATAAATCCCTACACACTTATTCTACGTATGTATGTACATTGAAAAAATCTGGCCCTGGCGGGTAGCTTGGTTGGTTAGAGCGTTGTCCTGATAAGCAAAGGCTTCGGGTTCAATCCCTGGTCATAGCACATACAAGGAACCAATAAATGCATAAATAAGTGGAACAAATTGATGTTTCATTCTCTCTCTCTCCTTTCTTCTCCTTCTAAAATCAATTAAATTTTTTTTTTTTAAATCTGAAGAATTGATACCAAAGGGTTAATATAGTTTGGTAAGTCAGGCTATGGACTCTATTTTTATTTTATATTTACATACCAATTTTTCCATAACAAACTTACATTACTTGTGTAATAAAATATTATGAACGTAGTATATGAGCCCATTCCCCTCCATGAATCCTAAAGGTTTTGGTTTTGCTAAACTGAAAATAAAGGCTTTGGGACTTTTTCCCCTCTAATCCTCACCCGAGGACATGCTCATGCTTAGAGAGAGGAAGGGAGAAAGACAGAGAGAGAGAACATCGATTGACTGCCCTCCACACATGCCCAGACCAGGGATTGAACCACTGCAACCCAGGTATGTGCCCTGACTGGAGAATCTAAGCGACAACCATTAGCTGCATAGGAAAATACTCCAACCAACTGAGCCACTCTGGCCGGGAGCTTTGTGACTTTTGAAAAAGAAAGAGCACTAGCTAGCTGATTTTTAAAAGTTGGGGCAACTGGCTGGGTAGTTCAGTTGGTTTGAACGTTGTCCAATATGCTAAGGTTTCAAGTTTGATCCCCAATCAGGGCACATATAAGCGTCAACCAATGAATGCATAAATAAGTGGGATAACAAATCAGTGTTTTTCTCTCACTCTCTCCCTTCCTCCCTCTCTCTCTCTCTCTCTCAAAAAAAAAGTTAACCCATGGACACAGACAATAGTGTGGAGAAGGCCTAGGGGGAGGAGTTCAGGGGGGAGGGGATCAATGGGGGGAAAGGAGGACATCTGTAATACTTTCAACAATAAAGATAAATTAAAATTTTTTTTCAAATTACAAAAAAATTAAGTTAGGGCAAGTGGGCCTTCCCAGTGGCCCTGAAATGCTACCACCAGGTGGCAGTCTGCTCCCTGGGCCTGCCTCAGTCTTGGATCTGGCACAGCTCATCCAGACTTTGGAGGCCTTTGTTTGGGTCCCACATGGGACCAACAAGCCTGATATGCCAAGCTGGCCCCTTGCTCTTTTTCTCCATATTCCACAGGCTCAGAGCCAAAAGTCTTGGGCCCACTTTTATCCCCAGGAGCAACATCCACTAACCAGAATAGTGAGGAAGGGTCATAAAGTGGCTGAATCATATCAAGTCATCAATTCCTCTACCCAATACCACATCAAAACAATAACTGTCATTTATTTTTCATTCTCAGTAAGGAGGTGGAAAGACCTTTCCCTCAATTCTGGCTCTTTCTGTACTTCAGGAATATTCACCCCTAACTCTTCCTTCCTTCAGGGAGAACTTTGGCAATGGAGATAGTCTCTGAGGAGCACTTGAGCTGGTGGAGAAGGAGAAACTCAGAGCCAGATCCCTAAGAGACAGCATCACTTTCCTGCCAACTTCCTCATCACCTCTCCTTCGAAGCGAAAGGAGTGCCAGCCCTCAGCTTCAGTCAGATCTTGGGCTCCTAGGGCCTTGTACAAGTCCATGGCCCTCTTGTTCCAGTCTAGGACTGACAGGCGGAACTGGGAGCAGCCTTTATCCAAGGCCACCTGTGGGAAAAGACATCGCTAACTTTCCTGGAAAAGGCTTTCTCACCCTCCACTCAAGCTGGGTGTCTTCCAGACACCTTTGCCTTTCCAGGTCCCCAGGCTTGCAGCCTCATCACCCTTCTCACCTCAGCCACCTTTTTTATTATTTTGGAACCAATCCCCTGACCTGATGTGGGAAGAAGAAAACAAAAAGAGGGATTATGTGAGTTGAAGGGGATCAGAAAAGGCCAAAAGCTGGGATTAGATGGTGGTCAGGTCTATGAGTTGCTTTTCTCCCACCCCAGCCTCAGCCTCTGCCCTGTACCCCGATATTCCGGCTTAACATAGATGTCTTCCAGATAAATGTTGCGTCCCTTCCATGTGCTGTAGATGAAGTAGTATAGCCCATAGCCCACCACACAGGGCCCTGAAAAAAAGAAAGAGAGGTCAGGCCACTGGATGCCATGGGGAGAGGCCTCTGAGGCTGACAGGAAAGGAGAACTCTGAGGTGGAGGTGTGTTCTTACCCTGTGGCTCCCCGGGGCCTGGAAGGCTCTCTGCTACCAAACAGTGATACAAAGGATTCTCTCCAAAGCCATCTGCCCTCAAGTCTGCACAGATCGAAATTGTGACAAAGAGAGAAAGAGGGCCTGAGTGTGTGCCCAGCCTGGAGCTACAGCCCGGGGAACTCATCCCTCACTTCCTCCCAGCCTCCATCAGGACCCAGGTGCTGAGCCCCAACCTTCTTCACAGATCTTCACCTGATCCGAGAGTTTCTCAAACTCGGCTAGTTCCTATGGCATGGGGACAGAGAGCACATTAGCGCAGGAGGGCCCCGCTGCTCCGCGAGGACCCCAGGGCGCGCTCCTCCCCNCCTCCCTGAGACCCTGGTTTCTGGCCCACAGACTTAACCCGAATCAGCCTCAGAATATTTCCACAGTCTCCCTCCTTGGCCTCTCGGATCCGCACGGAAACCATCCCGATTCCCACCGCCTGGGACGGAAGTCCAGGATCCCCACTTCCGTTCTGCAGGACCCGGTGACGGGCTCCGGGGACCTTTTAAAGGGTCTACAAATTCGGATCCCAGAAAGGCAGGGGAGCAAGGTGGTCGCGGGTACCGCGGGCTGGGAAGCGGAAACCCGATCCCAGCCACCTCGGGGCCGAGCGA